CTAAAGATTCTGAAAATTTCGACTACATTAACTCAGTTGCATATGGTTACTATTAAAAATTCAGATCTAGATCCTAATCAATGTATGATTGAAACTGATCTACGTTCTTAGCAGGTGCTACTTAATTTAACATTTTATCCAATTTGACCATTATGTCTTTACCCATTATAATGAGCACAGCATAATCTGAATTAATAGGAAAATCTGTGCAAACATCGAATTCTAGAAGTTCGGGTATTTTGTTGCGATCTATTAGCGAATAGAAGTCTTATTCACAATATTAAGGGATGCTGATTAGTAGTGCATTTATACAGTTCTGTGCCTTTTTATTGAAATTCTTAATTTTAGTATGGAATTATATCCCTCACCTTGACTGAATAAATTATTGAAAAATGTATTATACACCTTACATCTTTTATAACTTGGATCTAATCTTCTAAACAATTTAGGCAACGAGAGCAAGACTCTTTTTGTTTTAAACATTTAATATTACTAAGGTCGATCTCAGATCGTCGAAATCGTCGATATATCGAAAGAGTTTACTGCCATACAATATACTTTTATATGTTCATATTGTTGTCATCAGCGATTTTAATTTTATATCATAAAGTTATTTATATTCTTTACATATTTATTTACATATTAACTTGATATTAACTATAACCAGCAATAGTGTTTTTTGCTCACTAGATTTCTGTCCAAAACTCTCTGTTGCTTTCTAAATCTTCTTTTGAAGGTTTTGAAATGAAATGGTCTGTTTCTTGAAACTACACTCTTCTCTTTTCTAATTGTTTAGTATGAAGATTGATATTTTTGTAAATTCATAGAAGAAAATTTGAGAACTCCAGTTTGTAGATTCATAGAACTTTTGCTTTTAATTTTCCCTTAAACGTTTCAATTTATCTCTCAAAAAGTATTAATGAAGGACAATATTGCATATAAGGGAGTCACAGTTTTCCTAATGCTATACTATCATAAATACTGTTTAATATATTAATTTAATAAACTGCCATCCTATTCGCTAAATTGCTTAATATTGTTAACCACTGCTATGTCCATTACTGTTCTTCCAGCTTCCTATTGTTCTTTAACCTAATCATAATAATATTATAGTATATATGATAATGTATAATATTTTATACTTACTACTTACTTTTCTAAGAGAAAAGCACTGCAAATAAAAGTGATAATTTATATTGATGGATTTGAAGTAAACAGTGGCGTTGCAATTGCTAAGGGCAATTACTCCAAGGGGCATGGCATACTCGGGACTTACTAACACAACTGATTTCAAAACTTTAGAAGAAATTTTATTTAAAAACGGAAAATAGTCGCATACATCTGTTATAGAATAAACTTATGTCATTACCTTGGCTGTATATTATCCTTAATGATTCCTGCAACCAATAGAACAGAACAAGCCATTGCTTTTGAATACATTTCAATTAAAAATTATACGTGTTGTGTATTAATAGCACAGTCTTCCATAGATCTGACGATTGAGAAATATTTAACTAGACAATCTTAATTTCGATCCGATATGTAGTCTTCTAAGTTAAGATATCAACTAGTGCTGATATACCCAACTTATCCCAACCTTACTGAAGAAGTCTTAGTAACTTGTCTTTCTCATCTACTTAAGACTGGATTTTAAAAAACTTATATTACAAGCATCTATATATTTATATAGGTCCTTTCAATAAACAAAACATATAATTTTATTATATCGGTCTTTTTAGTTCTTTTTATTTTATTACTTATTAAAAAATAGTTTCTTAATTATTTGTTTTTTTGTTTTTTGCTTTTTTGTGAATTTTGATTTATGATTTATTATTGTCCATATTTATTATTTAATTTTTTTTTTATTATTTTATTTTCTTTAATTTTTTTATCTTATTTTAGATACTTTTTTTATTATATACATACAGTAGTGATATAATACATTATTACAGCTTTGGACAATAATATTTTGTTTTTAATTGAAATGTTTAAATACTATTTTAAATAGTCATATATAAATATTTTATATATATTTTTAATTTGATTTAAATTTTCAAAATTTATATTCTTTTTTAGTAAGTTTTCAAAAATAATTCATTTTATATTTAAAAATATTATTTTAAAATAAATTCGTTCTAAAAGTTCCGTTGATTTTTTTCTTCTTATAATTTAAAAGCCTTTATATTTATAATAAAATTTTATTTTAGCTTAAAGTTTAAATGATTTTTACATAATTTTACATATTTTTGTTTTAAAAGCTTTTGAGAAAATTTTTAAAAAAAAATTAAACAAATTATATTATTTTTTATTTATGTACAATATTTATTTTTCATTTTATATTTTTTAATGGAAGAAATTGGTTCTATAAAATGCAATTTATAAATAGAACAAAGACTACTATTTATTTATTAGAAAAATCACTCGAATTTGTAGATATTTCATTCTAGATATAAAAGAAAACAAATATATTAAAAATGAAAAAATTTTGCTACGATTTATTACCCAATCTTTCTTCATCTTTTCACTTCCTTTTCTATTTTCTGTTTTTAGTACAATTAGCTGGCACTTTATTTTAAAACTTGTTTTTAATTGAGAAATAAAATAAATGAAATTAACGCATTGTCATTTCAACTTTATTTAATAAATAATATTTGTCACTATTATGACACAAACATAAGGATGCTTCACATCTATTTTTCTATTATATAGTGAAACCGTAACATATGAGAGATATGCTATGAACTAAGTTCTTCTCCTTTATAGAAGAACTTTGTCTGTTGTAGGATTTTAGTTTTTGAAGAACATTTGAGATTTCTGGAGAGTATTAGAATAGTTTTAAGCCGCTTAATATTGTTAAGACACAGGACTGAAAACATCCCTGTTTTCACCTTAATAACCTAGTTTATAGTTTATTTTATAACACACACTGGAAGTTTATTATATTCTATTTACTTTTTTCTTTTTTTCCTCAAAAGTTAAAATTTTTTTTAATCAGTTTTAATCAGTTTTCCCGAGTTCATTACCCGGAAGATATAATGGAAGCATTTTAATCTGTAATAGAAGAAGCTTTTAATGTAAAAAAAGTGAAAGTTTGTACTACAATTAATACACGTGAGATCTGACTATAGCAAGTAACAAAAAAATTTAATCGTATCAAATCTATATGGCCATGTCCTAATTAAATTATATATTGTATCCTCTTTTAAACATAAAAAACCGTGGTTTGTCTAAAAACCGTTCTGAGAAAAAATATAGTGAAATCTTTTAAGTCATTATATTTTAATTCATTATATAAATTGTTATAGAACAATTTTTGTTTGAGCTGTTAATACAAGTTATGAATTTAATATTTTTATACAACTTTAACAATTTAACAATTTGTTTCAATTCTATGTATATTTCCAACACTCAGAATTTTACTCTATATATATGATATTCAGAATGAGCCAGTAAACTCAAGAGGATCTCTATTTCTAATTATGACAATTTCAAAAAAGAAATTTGCCTACAATTTAACTAAAACATCATTAGGAGAAGGAAAGAACAAGATTCTGTGAAGAGCTTATACAGCCAGTTGTGTGATATCTGAATCTAGAAAGAACATTTCTGTTGATAAATCTTTAGAACTATGAACTCAAGCCCAATATTTACTGGATAGATGTAGAAAAGTTTTCCATGTACCTTACTTTTCTAAGTGAGGTCACTTAGTCCTAAAATTATATTTCAAAAAAATTTACTTAGTAGTTTTGGACTCACTTTTTGATAATAATGATTTCGTTTTTTAAAGGCTAATATGAGTTTTTACAGGTTTTTAGTTTTTTGATTTTTTTCTCTGGGAACGATGTTACAATGAATCAAAAAATCTTAATATTCATTTAAAATTAAATAGTATAAGTTCTTTTGTTTCTCCCTGACATGTCACACAATATATGAAAGTGTTACGAAATTGGTTATGTTGTTGTTGTAACCCGCTATGATCTGTTATGCTAAACGGCACTTAGTCGTCTGGATCGACGAGTGGATCCTGGACATGACCCGGCCGTTCTTAGAAATTGTTAATACTCCAGACTTCTAAACCCAAGCATATATATATATATATATATATATTTTGAAGATATACGAACTTTTATTATTGTTATATATCTGAGCAAAAATCAAAAAATGTTTAACCATTGATATAGATTAGCTAAGTAAGCTCAAGGAATATTATAATGGTTTATATTAAAGGTCTCAAGATTGAACAATAAAATATTTGCTTCTGATAACCATGAACTGTACTTAGAATTTCATTCATCGTAATACTATAAATATTATTCAAATAATTAGATATTTGAACTATTTAGCAAATTCTAATACACAAATTTGCACCAAGTAAATAATCCTTTGTACATAAATATTCAAATAATTCATTTTGTATTAAACGGAGTTAAATGGATCGAAAAGTGCATTAATTCCAATTAAAAGCAGACTCTCCAGATATTTGAAATTTTATATTATGTTAAGTTTTGAGAGTAGTTGAACTACAATATATGTATCAATTTCAGAACCTTTCTATTTTCCATTAATATATGTATATTTTTATCTTACAGTTTACTTTAGTTTTTATTTTGTAGGCAAGATTTTGTAGATTTTTGATTATTTTGACATTGTACAAAATTTAATTGTTTAATTTTTTTTTTTTCAAACATTTATGCAAAAATATTAATATAAATTAATTGTTGGAAAATGTTATATATATGTAAAAAAGGAAATTGAGTTTATACATTACTAAAGCTATAATTATCCTAAGTCTATATATATAAAAGAATACTTTTATACAATAAGAAAAAAAAATTTAAATAAAAATCATTTTTTATGGGACAACTTAAATATTAAAAACACATGAAATAAAATCAACAAAATATGTAACAAAAAATCATAATAAATAAAATTAAAAAAACATCTCAACTAAAATAGTTAAAATCCTAAAATTGAACAGTTTCAATTAAATTCTGCAAATATCAGCAAATTGAATCTATGGGCAATTGGTCTTGTTTAATGGATAATCGCCTAGTATTGCCCGGTTTTTTTTGGCTGCTATTATTGTTGTTGTTGTTATTGTTACTTAAACTTTCTATATTAATAGTTGTGCTGTTATTACTGTTGCTATTACTACTGCTGCCGGAATTTGTGTGCTCATTAATACTTTGTAGATTATTTGTTGGAAGTGTGGAAGCATTAGAGACCAATATCGGTATGGTACCGCCCAGCGTAAATGAGGTGCGATGCTGTGCGTTACTATTGCTGATCTGCCTATTAAGTGGCTGTAGCTCATCGGCTAAGCCCTCATGCGATATGGAATTGGAACGTAAACGATTATGTGCTGAATCTAAAGACTCATCACTAGCGGGATCCAAATGATCCGCGGACGGGTTTGATATATGCTGCAGCAAACCAGCAGAAAGTGCGCGTTCTAGAATTATTAGAGTCGTTACACAAAAGTGTTTAAATAAAATGCGCAAAACTTTACCTAAACTGCTTTTAGCATTTTTGGCGTACTCCAGCTTCACTCCATCTAGTTCTTTAGCACTGCAAAGTGGGGTATCAACATCGTATGTGTTATTGAATAAAGTGTAATCCACTTCATATTCACTTGTCTCCTTTCGGAAGGAAACTAAATTTACAAAGCGATGCCCCCATAATATCTCGGAAGGTAAATAACTGCTACGCGCTTGTGTCGTCATACCAGTAGATTCAATGACACCCTCTGTAAGAATATTACCAATTAAACAATACATCAATTTCATTAATCACAATTCCAAACTACGTACCGAGCATTACAACAACTTCGAAACGTTCTTTGAGCATGTCCGATGCTGATAGCATATAGAGCGGACTGTTACGATCGATTTTGTGTACAATTGTTGTGGGCCATATGAACATAAGGCGATCTTCACCACCATCAGCACCGATATGTAACTCTTGTTGGAAGAATGGCAGAATTTCACCTTCTTTCGTTATCTACAAATAGTATTAAAATATATATGTAAATATATTAATTTCATACACCTTTTCAGTTCAAACTTACTTTCTTCCTTATAATTTGCGCTCTAACATGAGCTTCTATAATATGAGATTTACGCATATCACCCACTCGAAACATCAAGCACGGCACACCATCTCGATGACATATGACCGCATTCCTTGAGAAGAGTAAGGTTTGTGCACGTTTTTTGGGACGTGAGAGTTTTGCAAATACAATGCCTACCATAAATGCTTGTATAAAGACACCAGTTATACATTGTAGGCACATTGTAAATATCGCCTCTGGACATTCTTCTGTCACGAAGCGATTACCGTAGCCTATCGTATGTTGTGTTTCGATTGAGTATAAAAATGCCGAAATAAGACTGCGCACCTCTGTCACACACATGGTATGTGTTGTATTTTGTATCTGATCTGGTTGGAAATCGCGCATATATATATATTCGAGATCACCGTGTGCATATGCGATAATCCACCATATAAATCCAAAAAATGCCCATGATATGAGAAAGCTTAATGCGAATACTAATAAAGTCCAACGCCATTGTGCGTCGACCAATGTGGTAAAGATGTCCTGTGAAAGAAAAAATTACATTAGAAAGCATTCTTAACATTGCTTCACTAATTTTACATTTACATATTAATCGGAAGAAAAATATTATGAATCATTATTTATGGAACTCTTAAGTGAAAATTGATTTATTCGTTTTCTCCATATCTTTTACAAAATAGTTCTATTTATAACTGAAACTCTATGCGTAGAAGTAGCTAAGCAACGAAGCAGGAAAGGGCTAGAACAATTTTTGTGATTATTTGCAAATTTCCTTAATACAACCTGACGAGCAAAATAAAAAATGTTAATAATAAGAAAGATTTCCAATTTATGTCTATAACATATTACAACAAAAATAAGGTTATTGCATTTAAATTGACATTCTAAATTGGAAATCAGAGTTTTTTCATTAAGGAATATTTCATCCGACACTGTTTTCGGGGAGCGCCATCCTATATACTTTTCTTGGTTGTACCCATGATATTTATATGCTCGTTACTATAGTAACTTCCTCATTAAGTTACTACCTCAGTTTTCACAAAAATAAAAGCTACTACGTGGGTCCTCTAATAATAGAGATGTGTTAAAATAATAGATCGCTAAATAAACATGCCTCTCCGAAGAGGGGGCGTTAAGGAGACAAGGGTTGGTTTGACGATGCATAAAGAACTCCACTACTTCACAACAAAAAAAACACCATCCCTTAATTAGGCTGATAATGAAGTACTTGAGTTACTGTAACAAAGCCAAGTATAGCATATTTGACTAGTACTCACTAAAGTGTTTCAAGAGGTAAGGTCCTGCTTCTGATTCTAACAGTTTCTTGAAATTAATTTTAATATTCGTAACTTAAGTCTTTTGCATATATATTTCTTTTATTCCCAACCAAGATACAAACTTTGTTCTAGTTTTGTACAAAAACAACTATAATTTTATTTATTTAAATATAATATAATATATAATATAATATATTTATCTAATATATGCTCAAGTGTGGTGTTATCTACTTTATCTAATAAAAATACTGATATGGTATAATATGATATAAATGTGATATAATATGATATAAAAATACCTACCACTGCTACTAATTTTCAAATTGCATATTCTCCCATCTATTTTCCTCTTTTCCTTCTTACATTTATTTTTCTCTATACTTATTTATTTAATTTTTTTTTTTTGATTATATTTTACTTTTATTATATTTTATATAGTTTTATGTTCTTCTCGACCTATTATTTTTCTAACTTTACTTTCTTAACTATTATTATTGAAATTTTTCTCCATGACTAAATATGAATCTACGAGATGAAAATCGACAAATAAATTTAGTTGGTTAACTGTAATATGCATATCTGGTAATGCTCATATATAATAAACTCCAATATTAAGTTAAACCTTCATATTACTATTTATACATACGTGTTGACTATTGTGTTAAAATAATATTTTACACTAAATTTTTAGTTAATATTTTATTTGTAATTATAAGTGAAAAAACTTCTCAATTAATTATATATTACTAATTGATATTATTGCCACCTATTTCTGTAAAGAGAGTTAATGATTTATTAAAAGCAAGTTTAAAACTGTCTTTGCTTTATATATTGTTTGGCTATTATCTAAACTGAAACTGAAGATAAAACTTTAGATACTATCTTTTTCATCATTTTTTTTCCTTTTTCAACTTACATATCTTCTTCCTTCCTTTTCTTCCTTCCTTTTTCTTCCTTTCTTTTTCTTCTTTCCTTTTTATTCCTTCCTTGTTCTTCTTTCCTTCTTCTTCCCTTCTTCTTCTTCCTTCCTTCTTCATACTTCCTTCCTTCTTCTTCCCTTTTTTCTACTTTCTTCGTCTTCTTCAATATTGCAGCTCTAATTTCTTTAATATCTTTACAGTTTTAAATTATCTTTTGTGTTATTTTTCATTTTTTCTATTATTATTATTATTTATATTATTTCTCTCACTATTTCTATAATTATTCTTCTGTTTTTTGACTTTTCTTTTTAAACCTTTGTATAGTCTAATTGTCCTCTTTTCCACTTCCTTCATGGCCTTGTCTCTGTCTACTTCTTTTTTATTGATTTTTTCAGCTTATCTTTTTATATGCATTTTAATTCATTTAATAGCATCTAACACATTTTTGTTTACTTCATCCAATCATTTTCGCAGTTGGTTTTAAAACCTTAAACTAATTCCTCTACTCTATTATGACAACTATATACGTATTATTTACAGTATAAAAATAACTTTTTTATTCTTATAGTTTATAATTTTTAAAAATTAGCTTATACAAATTAGATTTAGTTCCCACACATTTAGTTTAATTCGCTTTGCGGAAGATAAATACTATAAAATTGCATTAAAAAATTTTAGATGAGCTCACATAAGATGTCTTCAGGGACACTTGACACTTGTCAGCTCCGACAACCTCCCATTTTATTATAAAAATAGAAACGTTTAAAGCAAACGTCATAACACATGACAATTGCCTTGAAATGGCTTATAATTAAGAGTGAATATATGCGCGCGACTTAAGCGTCCCACTCTCCACTCTCCAAATACGTAGGTACTGCATTTCTGCATCCTAGTTACGTGACTTGAACGATGAATAACGATCCCAAGTGCACGACAGAAATGTTGTCCTGAACTCTTATTAACATGCAAACAATTATTTAAAATTGAAAGGAAAACTGAACAACAACAATCGCAAGAGAAAAGCGAGGGAGCTTCCAGCAAAAATGCGTGACTGCAGAACGCCGCTGGGTTAGGATTACTTAAGAGCAGTTCCTGCAGTGGCAATGTCAAAGAAAACCCCCCTTCCCCCTCTCCCCTTACTTAGGAGTTGCATAATTGCTACAGGTCGAAGAGGAGCGCAGGAAATGAAAACATGGCTATCAAACCCAATTCCTTTTTATATAAGCTCCGCACACTAGACCAACTCACCTGTAGATACCTGCGGCGTCGTTTGGCGACGTTTCCTTGCACGACATTGCAGTCGCCATGTTTGAACACAACACGTTTCCGTACACGACGCGAACTAAAACGTGTCTGGCGGTACCTGCAAGTAAAGAAAATTGAGGAAAATTATTTAAGGGAAATACCAAGAAATATGTGAGAAATGTGTTTAAAGCTAAATAATGACAGGACAAAGCAAGGCACTACGTGTGAAATATAAGGAAATGGTGCATTCAATATGAGAGCTGGAACAAAAACCACTTCAATAAAATAACCGAGTGAAGGAATTAAATGAAATAGAGTGCGTTTCCTAGGAAATTTAATTTATGTGTCGTTTATGAATTTAAGTGGTTGAAGTTTTTACTTCTAATTTATAATCAAAATGGTTTCCATTTACAGCTAAAACCAGATAAATTGTTGCTTAGGATGATAAATAATTAAAATCTAAAGAAAGAAATATAAATTCTCTTTTTCTTATGAATACATAAACTTTGTAATTCAAAGGAAATCACCCACTGCTGTTATCTCTTTGTCTATTCGATGTTATTGTCTTAAAATTATTCAATTATTTATTATTATTTTTAAACAATAAAAAGCTTAGGCGTTCGTAGGAAATCAGCCACTGCTTATATTAAACAATAATGTATGCTCAACACTTTGTACACTCTGTATCCTAAAAATACAGCGAAATTTGATAAACACAGGCAGATACAAAGACATCAGATCCATCATATTATAAAGCCCCGTAAAACCCCGTATTTAGTGTAACTTAAAACTGTCCACAGATAAAATAGAGTAAAGATGCTGATTCACCAACTCAGACATTTGAATATCAATACTCAATAATACTTTGTACCATAATAAAGTGTTGAGCTCAACACTCAACAAAAGCTCAACACTTTTTCCGAGTTAGTGCATCTGGGCACTTTAACTCTTTGATAGCTGGGAGGTTTGTGCAGAGTCCCACCCATCTCACTGACTAATTTGTCTATTCGTCATAAGCTTCGTGCTTATTCAATGATTGATCTAAGGTCTGCATACCGCCCCGTGCGGTTAGTGATTACTCTTAGATTAGATAGTGCTAAGTAGGGCAGCCTGTAGGTTATCACATATAGCTTCAGGGCTCTCTCCCTTATATATTTTTTGATCGCATCTATTTTAAGGTATCTTAGCATCTCATTTGTCCGGATGTACCATGGTACTTTGAAGAGTCTTCGGAGAGCCTGACTTTGAGCAATTTGTAGTTTCTGGATAGTAAAGTCGACTGTAATACTTAATCTGGATAGTAGAAAACTTTAGTATTTAATGGAATCAATTAAGGAAAGGAAGATAGTGTAGTTCATCTTACTTTTATATCAGTAATTATCATTTTTATCAAATGATTAAAGCCGCATATGTATTATAAAAATATTGATATCTTCATTATATGTCTAATTCAATAAACTAAGAAGAACTTGCATTTTTGATTTAAATAATCTCTCGAACTATAATATAATATAAAAATAAAGAACGAGCTTAAAATTAAGTACAAAAAGTGGTTCAAAATATTAATATTTTCATTATCTTTCTGGTTTAATAAGCTGAGAAGATCTTGAATTTTCAATTTTAAAATTTCGAGGAAATGTAATGTAATATAAAAGTGTAGAGTAAGCTTAAAAACAAAAACTGATTACAAGGAATGATTAAAATTACAGTCGCGTAAGCACATATTATCAAAAGAGGACTACTTAAAAAGGAATGAAATAGGAGATTAAATTGAGTAAAATTGAAAATTAAATGCTTTCAAAACAACAACTTTCGCATTCTTTGTAATCCCTTGTGCAGATAAAATCATAAAAATTTGTTAATTTTAACATTATTTGTTAATAAGTGTTTCGATACTAACAAAATAATCTGTATAGCACTGAAAACTATTTTTGAAGACCGC